GGCCTGCCCGACACCGCTGCCGCCGCCCTCCCGACCGCCGCCGCCCTCCCGACCGCCGCCGTCGGCGCCGCCGCCGCCCTCCTCCCCGCCCTCGCCGCTACCACCGCTGGCTCCCCCTTATGACGTGTGGGACTGCAACGGAATGATGACGTGCTCCTCTGGTGACTACTCCCCTCAGTGCCGGTTCCCCAAATTGTGTGACGGCACTGGCTGCGTCGAGTGCCCAAGCGGACATCACGTCTGCTTAGGCAAGGGCTACTACTCCCGGACGTGCCCGGCCGGCCAAAAATGCGTCTCGACGGGGTGCGTTGACGGCGAGGACCCGGACAACCCGTACCTGTGTCCGGCAGACCCGCCGCCGGCCTGCCCGCCACCGCTGCCGCCACCGCCGGCGCGGCCGCCGCTACCGCCGCGAGAACTTTGGGACTGCCACGGAATAACGACATGCAGAGAGGGAGATTATCTTCAGGCGTGCGGCTACCCCCAACCTCTGCGGGGGGGGGGGATGCTACTCGTGCCCGCCCGGAAATCACATCTGCGAACGCGACCGGGGCTACCTTTATGGGCAGAGGTCGTGCCCAGCCGGCACAAAATGCCATTCCTCAGGGTGCTTGGCAGCCGAGGACGACCCTGACAACCCATACCCCTGCCCGGACGCGGCGCCGCCGGCCTGCCCCCCACCGCTGCCGCCGCGCGACTTTGACAGTGACGGCGTGCCCTCTCTCTCTCTCTCTCTCTCTCTCTCTCTCTCTCTCTCTCTCTCCCGGGCCAGCTCCAACCTGCCGTGTCGGGACGTCGCCCCCCCTCCGCTGATCTGCATGCTGCGATTCTCTCGCCTTGTCCCAGGAGCCAGGTGCGTGCGTCTTAGCCCCCCTACGTAGTGTGGGCCTTGGCCCCCCTTCTGTTTTCTGTTTTTCAAAACGCCCGCCCGCCGCCACCCCGAGGCGGCTCGGCCCCCCACTCACCCAGAGAGATCAAAAGGCTATTTCCATTTCACACTCTGACACGCTAATCTTGAAAACGTCTCCAACGGAGCTCCGTGTTGCTCCCAGCGCCCTCCCCCGCGCTTCCTGCGGCCATGGCCGATGATACTAGTATGAGAGGTCATCTGGCTACCGCGAGAGCGACCCAACTCGTCGACATCGTCCGATGATGGTGCCGCAAACGGTCAGCCTTCGGAGGCTATCGTGGGGTCGAGCCGGCAGTAGCCGTGACATGTGGTTCCACCACCCCTCGTAGGCTTTGCCTCTGACCGCCACCGTTCCCAGGCTGCCTAATGGGATAGAAAGGAAGGCTCGGCGAGCGTAGAAGCGTGCTCGACCTCGTCGTGGCAACCTGTACGGCAGCGCTGGTAGGCGCGATGAGCGTCGTGCCACCTGACCCGAGACGGGTCGCAGGCGTCGTACCGAGCGCGTCGAGACCGTGTCCTGATGTGATCTGCACGGGTGAGTCACGTCGGCGTCAAAGGAGCGACGTGCGACCTGTCAGAGCTTGATCTCCGATCTCAGCGGCGTCGAGTCGTCTCCGGCGGCGATATACTTTTGTAGAGCCGAAATTTCAACTTTGGGACAGGGGTCCCCCCCCCCCCCCTCCGGGCGCCAAAAGTAAACGCCCGCTTGCGCCCGTGCGCCCGTGCGCCCGTTTTCCGCCGTGGCCCCGCGCGGCCGTACCTACTCGCGTTTTCGGCCCACCGCCTTCGACCGAGCTTACCACCATCACGCACGCACGTTTTATCGTGTGCGCGACGCGCTCGACCACCACCGCGGTGGCGCCAAGAGCGCCTTTTCAACACGCTGCGATGGCGATGTGCAGCACCAGCCGACACGGCTTCCTGCGCCGCGTCGAGGCTCGCCGAGCGGGCACGTAGGTCGACTCGACACGACACAGCCCCAAACATCCCGCGTCTCGCTCGTGTTCTGCCAGCTCTCTGCCCGCAGTCGCTGCTGCTCACGCTCTCGCCGCGCGTCTCCTGTGCTGCACGCCCACACGTGCGCCGCCCATCCGCCGCCGCGGGCGCAGCTCCCTCCGCACCCCTCCCGGTGAGCACTCTGCAGCCGCTCGAGCCGCCGCGACTGCCTACGGGGCCTCCCTCGGCGCCTCAACGAGTCGCCGAGAGCGTCTCCGACGGCGGCGGCTTCATATATCCTTGCCGTCGGCACCCGAATGCGCTTCGGAGCTAACGGTGCGTGAAACTGGTTGGCCCTGACCGCTCCAAACCCAGAAACCGCGACGCGCGCCCTCTCTCCAGCCTCACTCACCGCTCCGCTCGCCACAACGCTCAGTTCTCGCTCGGCTCGATCCCTCCACAGGCCGGCGCGCGACGACGAGGTGTCGACAATTGAGTGCGCCTTCGCCGCTCGCACAGGTGTCGACACCGGCAAGCTGCCGCTGCTCCGTCTTCTCCCTCGGCGCCGCGGACGATTGCTGCCCGGTCGCTGTGCGTCTGGATGCGCTCCCGGCGGTCCTCTCGGCGGAGAGAGGGGAGCAGACGCGTCGCCCCGGGAGCTGCTGGGCCGCACCGCTATAGTGCGTCGTCTCGCCGCGATGGTGAGCTCTTCACGTTTCGACGGAAGAGGGTGTCGCGAGGCTCTCGCCGCTCACCAGTGCAGCGTGTGCGAGCCCGTTGCCGTTGCCTCGCTTGTGTGCCCGGGGGTGGCGGCTAGGCTGTGTCTGCGGCTGTGTTGTGGTTGCGTGCCGTGTGTGACTTCTCGCCGCGCCACCGAGACAGCTTGCGACCGCTTTGCCTCTGGCGCACCCCGACGTTGTTTTTCTTTTTATGGGTGGTCGAGAGATTTCCTAGGGCGAGATTTGTTTGTGTGTCGAGAGCGGCGCGAGGACTGTTGGGGACCGTGACGAGAGTACTCGGCGGTGCGTCTACGTTTTTTTTACTGTATTAGCACCGCTAATTCATTCACGACATGACAGTCAGCAGTCTCAAACATACCGTCAGGGCACGGCAGAGGGTCATGCCCCGTACTCAAACGACCTGGCCTCGTCGGTGCGCTCGCCGGCTCGCCCTCGACGTACGGCGGAGCGGCACGACTCGATGCGGAGCGGCGCGAGCCTTGTCCCCGCCGCAAGGCTGCCGCCGCAGCGCGGTGCGTGAGTACGTGTCTGAGAGAGGGCGCGCGACGCGAGTGGCGATCCGCGCGGCGGCCGTGCGACGGGATGCGATGGCCGCCGCCGCACTGGGTAGGCGGCAGCCGGGGCGGTCGGTCCGGGCCGCAGCCATTCACCGCGGCGCACATGCGGCTCTCTGTCCACGCTCGTTGCCTGTGCGCGCGGAGAATGGCGCTGTGAAGGCTCGTGCCGGGGGCCGCCTCACACTGTCCGTGTCGCGCGGGCGGCGTGCGCCGTGGCGAAGCGGATCTCGGGTCGTGCCGCGCGCTGCACAAAAGCCTCACGAGCGCGAGAGCAGTGCAGCGGCCCGGAGCCGAGGAAAACCGATGCGGCGCGGAGCGTCGGTGGTGCCGAGCAGGGTCCACGGAGTCGCAAGGCGTGCCACGGCGACGTACGCGAGCTCTCGGCCGGCGCGAGCGCGCAGAGAGGAGTAGATTGCTGCCCGCTCGGCGCGCTGCGAGAGCGTCGACGTCGCAGAGGTGGCGGACGTCCGGGCGAGCGCGTGGTATCGATCGAGCTCGCGATCCGGGCCGTGGAGCCCACGAGGAAGACTTCGTCTGCTGGGACGGAGTCCCGACGCTCGCTGCGTCCGCCGGAACTGGGGTCTGGACACCTTTCGTGGCCGCGTCCCGCAGTGGACGGCTGGTGCTGCACATCGCCATCGCAGCGTGTTGAAAAGGCGCTCTTGGCGCCACCGCGGTGGTGGTCGAGCGCGTCGCGCACACGATAAAACGTGCGTGCGTGATGGTGGTAAGCTCGGTCGAAGGCGGTGGGCCGAAAACGCGAGTAGGTACGGCCGCGCGGGGCCACGGCGGAAAACGGGCGCACGGGCGCACGGGCGCAAGCGGGCGTTTACTTTTGGCGCCCGGAGGGGGGGGGGGGGGACCCCTGTCCCAAAGTTGAAATTTCGGCTGTACCTCCCCAGGACGCTTAGGGGCCCCCTTAGGCTTAAAAGGGTGGGCCCTGGGGCGCCTGCGGCTTAAACGGCTTAAAACGGGCCATGGCCCGCTTTAAGGCTGCCTGGGCCGCCGATTCCTCAAACGGTCTTAAACGCTTAAACGGTGCGGGAGAGCTCCCGAGGGGTCGATGGTCCCGGAGGAGCTCCCGGTAGAGACGCCGGAGGCCGGGTAGCTGGCTACAATCAGCTAGCCTAGCAGCTAGCACGCGTCCCCTATGCATAGTATGGCTGCCAGTACACCAGACTTACAGATGTGTCTTCAGAGGGGCGGGTTTTTGTGCCTAATAACGGCAGTATTGGAGAAAACGGCGCGGAACGCAGCGACGCATGTGCCGGTGAGGCCAATTTTCTTAAACGGTCTTAAAAGAGGGACCCCCGTGCCTGCAATCTCTTAAATGGCAATTTAAGCCCCCAAAGCAAACCCCCTCATTAAAAGGTCTTAAAAAAATCCGGCCCTCAGAACCCTAGGGTACCCTAAGCCAGGACGCGCGCACGAGAGGCCAGCTGCGATCCCGCCGAGTGGACGGTAATCGGTATCACACCGCGCCACCTGCTGTGTGGTGCCGTCCACTCGGCTGGTCAAAATGAAAATCTTTTGTAACGGGGCCCGGCCCGCGGGCGGCAGGGGGCGAGCGGCTGTGCCCCACAACGAAGTGTGAATTACTGAAATGGTGAACTAGCCAAAACGGTAAACGCTCGGCCAAGCGCAACGCGGAACGAGAGCGCCGGGTCGTTTGACGCTTGTGCCGTTCTCCGATCGCGTTCTTTCTCTTTTCTCTAATCCCTAAGCGGTGCATTGCCCGCCTCCGCCGCTTCGAGGATCTCCGCCGTCCGCGCCCCGGCGACGCACGGCAATAATCTCAGGTGAATCTCGCACGGCGCGGTGGCGGCAGGCGCAAGGCGCGCTGCCGCGTGCGGCCGCGGCCTAGGCATCCTTCTCCTTCGCGGCGGCCCTCGCCGCGCCCGACGCCGGCAGGAGCAGCGGCGCCGCCATCAGCAGCGCCGGCTCGACGGTCCACGCGGCGTCGCCCGCCAGGTTGCCCCAGTACTGCGCCGCGTCGGCGCCGGGCCAGGCGGGGACCCACTGCTTGAGGCTCGGGTCGGCGCAGAAGAAGGTGACCGGGAAGACGCCGTACCCGAGGAAGGCGACCGCGTTGAGCGCGAGCACCGCCGCGTCCACCGCCGCCTGCGCGTACTGCGCGCGCGCCGCGCGCCGCAGCTCGGCGGCGACGGGCCGCCGCTTGGAGGGGAGGACGGCGAGGGCGGCGCGGAGCTCGGCCTCGACCGCCGTGAGCGCCTTGAGGTGCGCGCCCGCCGCCGCCACGCCGAACGGGTCCGCCGCCGCCACCGCCCCTCTCCACGGCGAGGCGGGCAGCTCGGCGGCGCCGCGGCCGAGGGCGGCGTGGGTGGCGGCGAGGAGGAGGGGCACCGCGGCGGGCGCGTCGAGCGGGTCGCCCCCCTTGCTCTCGAGCGAGTCCGCGAGCCGCGACGCGTCGCCCGCGCGCTGCCGGCTCGCGCGCACCCCGTCGGCCATCACCGCGAGGCAGTGGAGGAGCGCAAACTGCAGCAGCAGCAGCGCCCAGTTGATCAGGGCGTCGTAGGGCTGGTGGAGCGACGAGAGCGTGAGCAGCACGAACGCCGCGCCGATGGCCACCTTGGACACCATCATCCACGCCGTCGTGCGCTCCGTCGCAGACTCGGCCGCGAGATTCGCGCAAGCGACCTGCACCGCGAGCGCCGAGGCGGAGTCCTCGCGCTTGGCCGCCAGCTGGATGGCCTGCTCCCACTGCGCCTCGCTCGGCGCGGCGTGCGCGCCGAGCCACGACGCGGCGCCCGAAGCGAGGAAGGGAAGCGCCGATGAGAGGTTGTACACCACGGCCGCCGCCTGCAGCGGCGCGATGGCGCACTCGAGCGCGGTGATCTCGCCATAGTACGGCTGCATCGACCAGTGCTCGGGCGACGCGAGGGACTTGACGACGCAGAAGCCGTTGCGGAGGAGCGCGACCACGGTCTCGAGGTCCATTGCTGATGGCTGGTTGTGCGCGTGGTTTCGCGGGGAGATCTGCGGCTGTCGAGGTCTCTTGGCGCACAGCCACTTCCAGTCTGCTCAGAGGGGTGGTTGACGGGTTGAGGGTTGAGGCCCCCCCTCAACCATCTGGTTGACGGTTGAGACCCCCCGTCAACCCTTTAGTTGGGGGTTGAGGCCTCCGGGGCCCATTCACAGGCTCGCGCGTGATCACAAGATTGGAACAGCCCTGCCGCCAAAAAAATCGCTTCGCCTGCGGCGCGCTCTTGCGGTCCTCGTACCTTGAGCGCAATCCATAAGTAGGAGACGCTCACTGTCGCCATTCAGGCGCCTGATCCTTCAGCAAAGCGATGGCCTACCAGGTACGAGTTCAGATGCGCGCCCGGCAGAAGACGCTTGTGATGCCGCATGCATGCAGAGGAATGCGCACAGAGAACGGACGGCAAGAGAAGGCAAGGGAAGGAAGAGAAACGGCTGGTGAAGCTCAGCTCACGGCGTAGTATTGCGGTCACTAACCATTCACGGCAAGAGTCACGGTGAATGCTGCCGCATAAAAGCAACAGAGTCGCGGTTGGCGCGATGGTCTTGTCGCGGTTATATAACGACTTGACGTTGCACACGGCCATAGACGCAGTATCTGTTTGGCGAGCCTCAAGCAGCGAAACAGGCGCGAGAAATTAATATTCAATCCTGAGATCTCAATTTTGGCGCTAGTTTCGTTTTCTGGTACATCATGACGACTTGGGTCTCATGTAGCTCTCGACGGCTCTTCGACGGCTCTTTCTGGTTGGATCAGACAGTGCTATCAGTCAACAACACAATGCCGAGAGCAGGGCGGCCTTCGAGCAGGGCGGCCTTCGAGGCAACTAAGTTCCTGCTGCATTTTTCATCGTACAACTTGATGGCGGGCGGACGTGTCGAGCATGGAAGGCGGCCATTGCTCAAACCTGTTCGAGTTGGCCTCCGGGAACAAGGGTGCGTGGCCGGCGCGGTCTGTTTCACGTGCAATAAGGGCAGCGCCATCAAAATCGCGAACATGGGCCGACATGCCTCCGACATTTCTCAGGGCTCGGACGGAAGCTCTGCAGATAGCCAGACCGCTCTGCGCGGTCGGACCGACTTTTTCAGACTTTGCTATTCTGGATACTGAGGGTATGTGCTGCTAGATCTCACTGAGCTGAGCTCGTATCTGGCTTTGGTAAGCAGTTTTGAGTTCGGTAATGTCTCCGGAGACGGAGGGCCGCGTCCGCGGACGACCATGACGTCGGCCGGGATCCCCCCGTGCGGGGGCCTTCGACGCGCCGTTTTTACGATACTTGCTTCAGCTACGTGCGTGAATGGGAGGTGTGATGCAGCATCCAGGCGTTAAAGAAGACGACATGAATGGTCCACAGAGAATGTGTGTTCAGACCTTTGCGCGGGGGTGTGAACAGCCATTCCGCGTGGTTGAGGGGTTGAAGGGGTCTGTCAACCACTTGGTTGAGGGTTGAGGCCTCTGTCAACCACGTGGTTGACAGTTGAGGCAATCGGCCTCAACCACCGCTCTGAGTAGATTCCAGGGTACCCGGGGTGGACGTGTGCTATTCGCCTCTACGCCTCTACCCGCCGCGCCTCTACTCGCCGCTTGGCGGAAAAAGAAAATCTGACCTGCGTCGCGCAAGGCTCAGGCGCAAGGCTCGGCGCCGGCCGAGCTCGCTTCAAAGGCGCTCCGCTCCAAGAAGGCTCCGCCGCCGGCCAAGCGTGCGGCTACTCCGCCGGCCAAGAGCGCCGCCAAGATCGGCAAGAAGAAGCCGGCGAGTCCAACATGGACTCTGCTGCGGCCACGCAGCGGAGAGTCCGCTTTTCGTCTGTCACGACCCTCACATTCGATCTCGTCGTGGACGGCTCGAAGCTGCCTAGCACCGGGTGCGCGCCACTCGGGCTCGGCCACCGGCTGCTGGCCAGAACGGACGCCGAGCCGCTCGACGAGTTTGAGTCGCGGCGCTCAGCGCTCAGGCGGCCGGCAGAGGGCCTCCTCCTCGGACACGTTGCGCGGCTCGAGCGACTGGGCGACGACCTCGATACGACGGTTCTGACTGCTGTCGAGAAAGAGAATGCGGCGATCATCGGGGAGCGCTTCTCTTCACGCGGCCCAGCCTACGGCGGCGGAGGCGACGGCGACGGCGGCGACGGCGGCGACGGCGGCGACGGCGACATCAATGGACTTGGCAACGGCGCTTTTGGCAAACTGGGACAGATGTACAGCACGGCTGAGGCCGGCGCAGAGCGCGGCGGGGCGGGCGGCGGCTTCGCAGAGCGGCAATCGGAGGAGGAGGAGCGCCGCGCCGCGAGGAGAGAGGAGGAGCGGGCAGCTTGCCTCTCGCGGAAGGCGGAGCGGAGGAGATGTAGCGGCTGCAGGCGGTTCGCCTGCATCTGCTGATGATGTGAGATGAGAGATGCGTTGGCGGCCCTGCAGAGATGCATCTGCTGATGAGGTGAGAAGGTGTAGCGGCGTCGAGATCGCGCGCGCCATTCCCGATTCGAGTGTTCTTGTTTTGGACACACAAGATGCCGCGGTGCACGCATGCATTCTCTCTGAGCTAAGTCACGCGTGGTGGCCACCAACCGCGAAGTAAGACGGTAGTCACGAGCGACCCGCCCATTATAAGACGGAAATTTACTGCGACTCCGCGAGTCAGTATTACACAGCGCTCCGCCCGCAGCTAGGCAACGGCTCGAATGCGAGCGCCAGGCAGCAGGCTCGGCGGCGGCCCGGTAGAATTGACGCCAGGTGTTTCGTGCCTTCAGCGCTGGTCACTCACAAGTGAGGAACGCATGTCGGGGCAAGCTGGTGAGATAGTCGTCACTGCTCGCCGGCGGCAGCGGACACATCGGCAAATACAGCACGCCTGTGCGAGAAGCAGCAGCAGCCAGGCATAGTTACACGCGAGGAGAAGCAGCACCTGTGGCTCGAAGGCTGTTCTGTGTCGCCTTGACAGCGGTACCTCGTGTGGCGCGACCGCAGGAGGACTAGCACTTGTCGCCGCCCCTAGTCGCCCCGCCATACGCCCATACCCTCGAACCCCTAGGAAAAAGGAGGAAAACATAAAAGCAACATACACTGAAAATGAAACCGAAAGAAAGAAAGTCAGGTTCGCTGCTTATTCGGGAGAAGCTGTAGGAAGAGGCGGACTCCCTAGGGTGGGCGACGGCTAGCGCACCACACACCTCTCCTTAAAATCCCTGTGTGGTGGCGGCGTGCCGTCATTCCCCATTCCCTCCCTTGCGTGTCTGTTTTCTTTCTTTCTTTAAGCTGTCGAAAGCTGGGCGAGAACCAGCGCGGCTCTCACAAACCGCTAGGATTCCTAAGACGACGACCTCAGCATGACCACGCTCGACGAGGCCGGGCCCGTGCGGCACCAGCTCGACCTCCAGTCGCTCTCGAGCTACCTCCGCTCGCACCTCAAGCCGTTTGAGGGCGCGCTGACGGCAAGGCAGTTTTCTCATGGCCAGTCGAACCCGACTTACCTTCTCGACTGCGGTGCGGCGTTCCAGTGCGTGCTGCGCAAGCAGCCGCACGGCAAGCTCCTGTCGACGGCGCACGCCGTGGATCGCGAGCACTGCATCATGCGCGCCCTCAAGCCGACCGCCGTGCCGGTGCCAGAGATGCTGTGCTACTGCGCGGACGCTGGCGTGATCGGCACGCCCTTCTTCGTCATGGAGTTCATCCACGGCCGCGTCTTCAAAGACGCCACCCTCGAGCAGCTGCCGCCGATCGAGCGGTTTGGGGTCTATCACGCCATGTGTGACGTGCTCGCCCGGCTGCACCGCGTAGACTGGAGAAGCCTCGCCGGGCTGGAGCAATTCGCGCCCGACGGCGCGGCCGAGGGCGGCGCATACGCGGCGCGGCAGGTGCGGCGCTGGAAGCGGCAGGTTGAGGGCGGGCGCGCGGTGCTGGCGGAGGCTGGCGTGGCGGAGAGCGGCGACCTGGCGGCGCTCGCCGGCTGGCTCGAGGAGCACACGGCCGAGGCGGAGGCGTACGCGGCGGCGCACTTCTCGCCGACGATCGTGCACGGCGACTTCAAGCTCGACAACCTCATCTTCCACCCGACGGAGCCGCGCGTGCTCGCGCTGATCGACTGGGAGCTCGCCACGATCGGCTGCCCGCTCGCCGACCTCGCGCACTGCTGCCAGGCCTACCGCTGGCCGAGGGAGCACTGGTTCGTGCCGGGGCTGCGTGGCGCCAGCCTGCTCCGCCTCGGCATCCCGCACGAGTCGCAGTTCGTGCGCGGCTACCTCGAGCGCGTCGCCCAGCCGCCGCTGCCGGAGCTGGTCTGGACCTTCTACTGCGCGCTTGCCTACTTCCGGATGGCGGCGATCGTCCACGGCGTGCACGCGCGCGCCATCATGGGCAACGCGTCCTCCGCGCGCGCGCAGCTGGCGGGCCAGATCTCGAACGACCTCGCGAGCGTCGGCCACCAGATTGCCCTCGGCCTCGCCGACGGCGCGGCGACGGCGGAGCCGGCGCTGCACCTGTACGACACGCTGCCCTTCCCCTTCTCGGCGCGCGGGCGGGAGCTCTTCGACCGCACCAGGGCCTTCATCACGGAGCACGTGCTGCCAAACGAGGGCCGCTGGCGGGAGGCGCTCGCAGCGAACACCGCCGCCGGCCGCCGCTGGTCGCCCATCGCACTTGTGGAGGAGCTCAAGGCAAAGGCGCGGGCGGCCGGGCTGTGGAACTTCTTTCTGCCAAGCTGCGCCGAGTTCGGGCCGGGGTCCGGTCTGAGTTCGCTCGACTACGCGCCCCTCGCGGAGCTGATGGGCTGCAACGAGTGGTGCGCCGAGGTGTTCAACTGCGCCGCTCCCGACACGGGCAACATGGAGCTCCTCGCGCACTTTGGCACGCGCGAGCAGCAGCAGACGTGGCTGCAGCCGCTGCTGCGCGGAGAGATCCGCTCGTGCTTTGCGATGACAGAGCCGCAGAGCGCGTGCTCGGACGCGACGAACGTGCAGACGCGCATCGAGCGGGAGGGAGACGAGTACGTCATCAACGGGCGCAAGGTGTGGACGACCGGCGCGGGCGACCCGCGCTGCAAGCTCGCCATCGTCATGGGTCGGGTCGTGGGCGGCGGCGGGCCCAGCGGCGAAGCGGACGCCGCCGGCGCGTCCGTGCGGAGGCAGCAGTCGATGGTGCTCGTGCCGATGGACACGGCGGGCGTCGATGTCGTCCGCATGCTGAGCGTGTTTGGGTACGACGACGCGCCCCACGGCCACGCGGAGGTCGCCTTCCGCAACGTGCGCGTGTCACGCGCCAACTTGCTGCACGAGGAGGGCGGCGGCTTCGCGATGGCGCAGGCGCGGCTCGGCCCGGGACGCATACACCACTGCATGCGGAGCATCGGTGTCGCCGAGCGCGCCCTCGCGGCGCTGTGCGCCCGCGCCAAGACGCGGCGCGCCTTTGGGCAGCTCCTGGCGCGGCACGGCGCGACGGAGCAGGCGATCGCGTGGAGCCGCGTCGAGCTCGAGCAGGTGCGGCTGCTGACGCTGAAGGCGGCGTACATGATGGACACACTCGGCAACCGGGCTGCGATGCAGGAGATCGCGATGATCAAGGTTGCGGCGCCGCGGATGGCGCTGGCCGTGCTCGATCGCGCGATACAGGTGCACGGCGGCGCGGGAGTCTGTCAGGATCATGTGCTCGCGCACGCGTGGGCGTCGCTGCGCACTCTGCGCCTCGCCGACGGGCCAGACGAGGTCCACTGCCGCACCATTGCGAGGTGGGAGCTGATGAAGTCGAAGCTGTGAGCGTAACAACACGTCCCTTCACGATGTACGCAGTAGTATACCCGCTTCGACCCCAGAGCCCAGACACACTTGTACTCATGCTCGCATACTCGATACTGTGCGTACGACTCAGTCTCGCGTCAACCGTACCACGCGGACTCGCATGTCCCTCTCCGACCTACGACCCAGCTGCAGCTCTCCAAGCCAGCTCTCACACGGGGACGGCCACTCCATACTTGTTCACCCGCAAACGGTCGCTGATGAGCACGCTCGTCGGCCGCGACGCGCGCGCGACGCCCGGTGCCTCCTGGCCCACCTCGGACGCTGTGAGCTCCGCCCCCTCCGGCTCCAAATCACACGGCGTGCTCGCGACGCTGTTCAGCGGCTGCAGCATGGCGCTCATCTGCTCCCTCAGGCCGGGCGTCGTGAGGATGGTGGACTGCAGGACCGCCGCGACGTTCCACAGGAAGAGCAGGCTCGCCCTCGTGCGCGGTGCCGCCACGGCGCCGGCAGGAGCCGCCTGTCCGCCCCCCTCCCTCAGCTCGAGCTCGAGGCCGCGCGCGAGCTGCGGCAGCACCTGCGCCGCGTGCACCGCCTCCTTGGTGAGTTGGCTGAGCGCGAACTCGATCTGGTACCGCGAGCTCGCCGGCTGCATCTCCATCGCGCGCCGCAGCTCCTCGTCCGCCCGCTCACGCTGCGCCGCGCCGATCAAGCGCCAGCGCGCAAAGTGCACCTCTGCCTGCACGTCCGGCTGCCCGTCCTGCCGCGCCTGCCCCGCCGCGCGCTCCAGGTACATCTCCGCCGACACCGCCTCGCCCTGCTTGACGTACTCGAGCGCGATGGCGAGGTGGGCCTCGGCGAGCCTGCCCAGCTGGTGGTAGCAGCGCTGGCGCCGTTGGTCGACGTCGAGAACGAGCTCGCTCGACCAGCCCGAGGCGCCGTGCAGCAGCGCGCGCAGGAAGAGGTTCGCCGCCTGCTCGTGCCGGCCCGCCGCAGTGTGCCGCTCGGCGCGCTCGATGAGCCGCGCGCCGTCGAGTGCCCCACCCTTCCACGTGCCGTGGTGGTGGTGCCAGTTGCCTGGTCCGAAGCTGCCCCAGCCGCTCGGCGCGTCGGGGCCGGCGGCCGAGGCGTAGAGCAGCCGCACCTGGCCACGGGGCGCTCGCTGACTTCGACGTTGCCGCCGAGCTCCTCTGCGTCTCTTCTCCTCCTCGCGCCCTCGCGCCCTCTCGCTCTCCAGCCCTCTCGTTCTCCTCTCTCTCTCTCTCTCTCTCTCTCTCTCTCTCTCTCTCCTCCTCCTCCTCCTCCTCTCTCCCTTTCTCCCCCCCCCCCCTCTCTCTCTCTCTCTCTCTCTCTCTCTCTCTCTCTCTCTCTCTCCTCTCTCCCTCTCGAACCCGTGCCCGCGCTTCTTTCTGCTTCTCATCGCCTCGCCTTGCCCGCGAACCCGCCCTCGAAGAAGGCGCGGCTGACGAGGGCCGGCCCGGTCGTGTAGAGCACCGTCTTGTCGTCATCCTCGTCGCCGGCGGCGGGCGGCGGCACGAGCGCCCACCGAGGCTCGAGGCTAGCGCGCCGCACGTACCGCAGGATCGCGGCGAGGAAGGGGTGGCGCGGCGTCGCTCCGAAGGCGTACTGCCCGACCAGCGTGCGCGTGCCGACCTCCCCGACTAGCGAGGGGTGGACGGAGGGCTCGATCATCCTACACACCCGCAGCACGACCGCTGCGTCAGGGAGGGGTCGCCGGGAGGGCGGCAGCTGCGCTCGTGGCTCTGCCGCTCAAAGGGGAAGACGGCGCGGGCGGACGGGTCCAGCTCGGAGAGAGAGACATGCTCGTCGAGCGGCTGCGAGAGGAGCACCTAGTAGGCGCGCCGGACCCGGCCGGCTGTTTAGGGAAGGGCGGAGCTAGACTCAAGGTCGGGGCAGAGGGGGGAGGAGGCACGTCGAGGTCGAGGTAGAAGCCTCCCCAGTGCGACACGGCGAGGTAGCGGAAGAGGTCGACCCGCTGGATGGGCGCATGGCGCAGCGCCTCGTACTGAGCCACCCACGCCGGCTCGCGCTCGGCGATGAAGGCGGCGATGTCTGCGTCGTCGAAGAAAAGGTACGTCCAGCCTGCGTGCCGAGCGGGTGGCGCGGTGGGGCGAGCCGAGGGGGGGGGGAGGGGTGGGCGGGAGGGGGGCCGCCGCGCCTGGGTGCAGCTCCTGCACCTTCCGCGCGTACTGCCTCATCTTGTCCGGCACTGTGTCGCGAGACTTGTACGTCTGCACGATCAGCTTCGGGATCGCGCCGCCCCTCACTCCTGGCGGGACGCGCCGCCAGTCGGTCGCCCCACCGCCCGCCCCTCCGCCCGCCCCTCCGCCCGCCGCCGCCCCGCCCGCTGCAGCCTCCTCCGCCGCCGCCCGGTCCGCAGCAGACGGGTGCTCCGCCAGCCAGCGGCGGAGCAGCGCGGTGTACTCCGTCGTGATACCGACGCAGCCAAAGCGAGCGACCAGCTGATCGCCCGACGGGAGCGGCCGCCCATACGGCACAGCGCCTCCGTCGTCGTCCTCGCCCCCGGCCGCGACCTGGCCGCCCCCGGCCGCCTCGACCCCGGCCGCCTCGACGCCGACGGCCTCGATGCCCAACGCCCTCTCGAGCCGCCTGCGCGCGAGAGGAAGGGTGTGGAGGGGCGGGGCGTATCATCGCCAGCAAGGTCCCGGCCGCCAGCTTGCCGGAGAGCGAGGGCGGCGCTGCCGACACGGCCGCCGCGCGCAAGCACCGTCGCGTCGCGGAGGGCGTCGGTAGCATCGCTCAGCGCGTCGAATGCGGCCAGCGCCTCCGACGGGAGCGCGTTCCCCGCGCAGTCGAGGCCGATGAAGTTCGGGCTCCTTCCTTTGCGGCGGGCCGCGCCTGCGCTGGCGTCGTCCGGCGAGGCGGACGGGCGGGTGTCCGGACCAGCGTCTGCAAGCGTGCTTGCGGTCCGGTTGGCGGTGTGCAGCGGCGTGCCCCACAGGAACCACTCATACCTGAGGAGCTCATGAATCAGATGAGCGACACTAATTAGCAGCGGTTCTGCCCCGCGAACCATCCGCACTCGGACAAGTCGCGCGCGCGGGGCGGCCGCCGCTCGAAGAAGACGTCGTGGCACGGCAGCGCCTCGTCCTCGTCGCCGTCCTCAAACGCGCCGTCGCTGGTCGGGTCGTCCTCCGCGTCCGTGCACGCCTACGCCACAGCGCCGCTCCTCGGGCCGGACCTCGCCCCCCCTCGCGCCACGCTCCTCTGCTCCGGCGGGCGCCTCTGCAAAGTGCGGCCGCGCGGTGCAGAGGCCGGCCAGCGCGCACCGCACCGCGTATTGCCCCTCGGAATAGTCGTACGGGATCTCGTCGTGCGGCCGCCCCTCCATCAGAAGGCCTACGGGGGAGGGCTCGGGGAAGGCTCGTGGAAGGTGCCAGGTCTCGTCGTGCCGCCGTCCCCGTCAGAGGCCGACGCGGGACTGCAGCCGCTCGCGGTCGTAGAGGACCGCCGCCATGGAGAAGCTGCCCCACACAAAGCCGCTGCTCAGCTCCATGCAGTGCCGCTGGTAGCCCGCGCCGCCGCCGCCGCGCGGCCGCTGCCACGGGACGGGCCTTCCGAGCGCCGCCGCCGCCGCCGCCGCGATCTTGCCGTCGCTGAACTCGTTCTTGAGCCGCACGCCGCCGAGCTGCTCGTCCTCCTCCAGCAGCCGGATGGCGCGGGCGAGGTGCTGCAGCCCGTGCACGCCGCCGTGCGCCAGGATGTGCGGGTGCGGCTCGCGATCGTCCTCCAGATTGAGGACGTAGGGCGCCCGGCAGCCGCGTCCCCGGAACCAGACGTCGTTGACGGCCCGAAAGAGGCCCTCGTTGGTCGGGTTGCGCAGCGGGTGCTCGATCTGCGCGCCCTGCTGCAAGAAGGCCTGCCGGGCGGCCTCGCTGCCGCCATTGTCGAGCCATGCGAGCTCGTACCGCAGCGGCCGCTCACTCCTGCCGGCCGTCGGCACGCGCTGAGCCTCGAGGTAGCGGACGGCGGCAGGGTAGATGGTCTCGAGGTCAGAGGTGCCTGAGACGCCGGTGCCGACACAGGAGAAGAAGGTCACGCACACCTCTGGCTTCGGCTCAGGAAAGACAGAGCGGCGGGGCCACATTGAGAGGCTGCTGTCTCGGAGCGGCGACGAGCGAGAGACCAGCCGTGAGACTGCCGAGAGATCGAGATGACTCGCGGCGCCGGCGCACGAAAAGAAATTCAGGAATCACGATAAGAAATTCGCGCGGTTTTTTCTTTCTTCTTTCTTTAAACACAGGTACACCAAAAATTAAGCCAAAAGAAACCAGAGGAACAAGAAGAAAAAGGACGTGCCTGCCAGAGCGGCGGGGCCCAGCCCTTCGAGTTCGCTGGCGAACTGGCGAACTGGTTCGTGAACTGGTTCGGTGAACTCGCGGTTCGTTCGGTTTCGGAGTTCGCTCTGGACGGCATCCCCTTGGTTCGCTGCATCGGTTCGGTCGTTCGCCCTTGGGTGCCCGAACCCTCGAACTAGTTCGTGAACTCGAGCCTTTTCTTTTCTCCTCCCCCCCCCCGACCCGCTTCACACCCGCAGGCCGAGGAAACCAGGGAAGTTCGTCTGAACTGCGAACGAACCGCGAACGAACCGCAATATGTATTTTTTGGCTCTGCAGGCCTGTATAGTCCCTGGTTGCCTACTAGAGGCCTAGTATGCCTGGACGCCTCGGGGAGCCCCCGTCTCCCCCATTCTATTCGCCAGTCAGCACGCACGGCGCCCAGGCACCACAGGGCGGCCCTGCTCACAGCGCAGCCGGCACCATCGGGACCCTAGTCCTCGGAGCGGTCCAGCTGCGGGAACCGCTCTGGGGTGGGCGGGTCGATGCCGACCTTGAGCAGGTAGCGGCCGGAGCCGCCGTGGGCCGAATGGTCCGCGGCGGGCGGCGGCGCACCGGGGTAGTCGCGCCCGTAGTCCGCTAGATTGCAGACTGTCGCGGACCGTCAGAACTGTGCTAGTGCCGCCTGTGTATATGGGCACCTGAGATTGAGGGCCAGACCGCGTCCGCACGCGCGCACGTGGCGCAGTTGCGCGAGTTCGTTCAGCGCGGCTCGTGGATGCTGCGAACGAACGAATTCCTGGCGATGATTTTCTTTTTTTCCTAGTTCGAACGGAGTTCACGAACGTTCGTTCGTTTTCGCAGTTCGCGCCTTCCACAGCCGGCGCGGTCCGTTCAGTTTCGAGGTTCGGGCTGGGCCCCGCCGGCTGCGTTCGTTCGAGTTCGGAGTTCGCGAAATCCGCGCGAACTCGAAGGGCTGGCGGGGCCACATTGCTCATTGAGAGGCTGCTGTCTCGACTCTCGAGCGGCGACGAGCGAGAGACCAGCCGTGAGGAGAGATTATCGATTATGCCGAGCGGCGCACGATAAGAAATTCCTTGGCCAAAAGAGAGAAAGCGGACACAAAACAAGAACACAACGCACTCCAAGAGAAAGAATTCTTCACTTGGGCCCTCGGTGAGACATAAAAGCGGACAAAGAATTCTCCGACACGCCACAGGGTTACTAGTAGACGATCGAGGGGTCCCGTACCACGCGGAATCGACCCTATCCAGTGCTCAAGTGCTCAATAGGAACGAGTGTATCGGCTTTGACGGATCGACCGTGCTTGTTATCGGCAAGACTGGTGTGACGTACACAGTGACACATCAGACGACACAGATTCTCCCACCCGCCGGGACGCAAAACGCTCTCGACGAGAGCCACAAGAAAGGCGTCCGCACAGCAAGCCGCTCGTCGGACAGGCGTGCTCGCTCGATGTCGGCGATCGCATAGCGCACGCTTTGGACGGTGGCGAAGCCAAAAACACCGATGGTGGCCGTCCCACCGCTGGCGTGAGCGGCGCCCGGCGGCGGTCGAGACCTCACCCCCTTCGCGCCGACGACCTAACCTCACTCGGAACAACCTCACCCAAGCACAACCCAACCTAACACGAAACAACCTCACAAAAAGCACGATTCTCAAGTTGGGCCCTCTGGCTGCAACACATCCCGAGAGTGACGGCCAGGCAGGAGTGAGCGTACGGCACTACGCGCCACTTATTAGGGTTCCCCCGGTGGGCGCCTCCCCAGCGCTCAAGGCACCAAAGATCGCCACGAACCACACGATGGGGCGCGGCAGCGGGGTACTAGTAGCGTAGCAGGGTGAGAATTATGGAAAACGCCGGAATTCGGACGAGTGCTCTCGCCTGCACAAATTCGATAAGTGGGACAAGGAGGGATGCGTCCAGGTGGCACGTCCTGGAGTTTGAGGCGTGCTTTCGCTCTCCGTCCTCCGACTCCTCGGTGACCAAACGACGAGCTGGAGAGCTGGCGACCGAACGCTACCCGAGGGTGGCTGGCGGCGATGGACGACCGAGCGGAGACGCAACGAATCGAGGAGCGGTTCCCGCAGGGAACCGACGAGTGGCTCGCGAGACCTCGGCTGTCGACGACTTCGCGAGGAACGATCACGCCGGTGGCGATACTGCAGCCGCTGTCCGCGCCGGTCGGCGACGTGGTGATGTACACCGGGCCGTTGCAGCCGATGGGGCAGCTCCACGGGATCGGCAGGGAGTTCGGCGTGGCGGGACACAACCGTGCAACATCTCTCTCTCTCAACCGTGGCCTGCATGCGTTGTTAGGGAGGCCGGCGACGGCGCGATCACACAAGATCAAGAATCAAGATGAGCGCAGGGACGTCGGGCCGACGCGAGCAAACAAGACGAGGCGGATGGATCGGCGCCTCACTCACTGGCAGTGCATCTACTGCCGGCGCGAGACGCGGAACGATCGATGCATGCACGGGCGACAAGGTGCTGGAACTGCGATGGCGAGAAGGAGCAGCTGCGAGCGGACAGTGAGGGGCGCGAGGCGGCGCGCCGCGGGCAACGTGCGAAGGAGTACTAGAGAAAAAGCCAATACTACGAAAAAGAAAAATCGGAGATCACACAACAAACAGACGGCCCCTCCCTCTTCCGGGCGCTACCAGGGCGCCAAGCACCAGCCAGCCGACAAGCCAAGCCAGCAGGAGAGGAAACGTAAGAGCCACGTCAATACACATGGCACATGGCAGCCGCCGACACAGCCTGCGCCCTGGCTCCCTGCGCCTCGCGCACCGCGTCGAGGGTCCGTTGTGACACTTGCCTCTCGCGCCCGTGCCGAAACCGCAGTAGGCTTAGGTGCCCGATCTGGTATGCCTTTGTGCCTTTGAGGGCTCACGGGCCACACCCTCTAGGCTCTACCTCTAGCTAGCGTCTTCCGAGACGCCACGCGAGCCATTCGATCTCCAACTCCATCCGCCGCCGTGAGCTGCACCTGTGGACCAGCGCGACTGCCGACTGACATAAAGGGTGTGGATGCTGGGTTGACGGAAATCGGAGGACGCGACCCACTTCGCCACAGACGGTCCCGCGCCTCGCCGCTAAGTTTGCGGCACGCCCCGCACCGTCCGCTGTGCCGCGTTTTTTGTCCGGAGTGAATACTCCAACGCGCTCGTCGGTGACGGCGTCCCCCGATTTCGCCGCGCTCCGGCACCGCTCCGGGAGCACGCCGGCGAAGCACGTCAAGCTGCTGTACGGCCCCGGAATCGCCTCCCCTCGCTTAGCTAGACTGAGAGTTATTGTGCACATGGTTAGTCTCTACAATATACTCACTGACACCTCCCCTCCCAGAGCTCGTCCCGGTCCGCCACGGCCATCCTCGGCCTCCGGAGGGCCCCCGGCCGCGGCGCGGTGCGGCGGCGTCACAAATCCGACGGCAGAGCACCGGGACGCGGTCGGGCGATCTGAGGTCCAGTGAGGCGCATGCATTGCCCATCCAGGGCTATCACATGGACCTATCAACAGGCGCCTGCGGCGGAGCAGGAGGGCCCGGCGCACAACCCCAGTTCAACTCAGGGTCCACACCTCTGGACCTCGCAGCGCTGACGATTGCCGACGAGCAGCCTCCGGCGGCGGCAGTCACCGTCGAGCACGTCCTCCTCTTCGACTTTGAGGGCACGTGCGACGCGTCGGACGCCGGCCTCAGCCGCCTCCAGCAGTGCGCGCTGCACGAGATCATCGAGTTCCCGGCGCTGTGGCTCGACGCGCACACCGGCGCCGTCCGTGGCACCTTCCACGAGTACGTGCGCCCGACAGAGGGCGCCGACGGCGACGGCGCGGCGCGGCCGCTGTCGACGTTTTGCACAAACCTCACCGGCATCACGCAGGAGCAGGTCGACTCCGCCTCACCACTCGCGGAGGTGGTCTCGCGCTTCCTTCAGTGGGTGGCGTCGTGCGGCCTGACGGAGGCTCTGGCAGACGGGAGCGCGCTGCTCATCGCGCATGGCGGCTGGGACCTCGGCGACCAGCTGCCGATTGAGGCGGCGCGCAAGCAGCTGGCGCTGCCCGCCTGGCTTGGCTCGCGCACGTACAGCGACCTGAAGGTGCTCTTTGCGCTCGAGTACTCTGGCGCCAGCAGCACCTCGCTGCGCGGCATGCTGCAGGCGCTCGGCCTCGAGCCCGAGGGGCGGGCCCACTCCGGGATCGACGACTGCAGGAACCTGGCGCGCGTGGTCGAGTGGCTCATCTCTCGCGGCGCGGACCTCGGCCACACCCACCGGGCCGGAGAGATGCTGCGAGGCCACCGCGCGGGGCTGCGCCCGGGCGACTGGGCGTGCGAGGCGTGCGTCGAGCACGCCAATTTCGCCTCTCGGGCGTCCTGCTTCCGCTGCGGCGCGGCGCGGCCCGCCTCGGCTGGCCCGGCGAGGCGGCCTGCGCAGCCGCGGCCTGGCGACTGGGCTTGCGCGGCGTGTGGCACCCTCTGCTTCGCGTCCCGGGAGAGCTGCTTCCGCTGCGGCGCGGCGCGGCCTGCAGGGCAGCTGCCGCCGCCCCACGCGCCCCACCTGCAGCCGCAGCCGTACCCGCCACTCGCCTTTGCGCCGCCGTCCTTTGCGCCGCCGTCCTTTGCGCCGCCGCACGCATTCTACCCGCCACCGCAGTACGGATGGCAGGGTGGCTGGGCTCCCTTCCCCGCGCCCTACCCGCCGCAGATGCTGCCGCCGCAGCAGCTGCTGCCGCAGCAGCGCGGCCGGCCGGAGCGCCGGCCCGGCGACTGGGACTGCAGCGTCTGCGGAGACCTCGTCTTTGCCCGACGCACGCACTGCAACCGCTGCGGCGCCGCCCCGCAGCAGCCGCGCGTCGCGCCGGAGATGCCTGCATGAGCTGGAGCTTCTATTTAAATAAATAGAGCAGCATCTCCAAGAAAATGAATGGAATTTTTCTTTATAGCCCCCGGTTGCACTCGTGCGACGTAGCGGGGGGCCATCACTTTGTGAAACGAGTGCGAGGGTCCTGCATGTGCAAAACGTTGCGTGAAATCCGGCACGGTTTCACGCCCCTGCTCTGCTGAGGGGAGGGGCCGGGCTCATAGCGGCGAGTCGAGCTCCTGCCTCTGGCCCCCGTATGTGATATTCCCCATGTGCAGTAAAATGTAACGAACGGACGTCGGCGCACTTCTCGTTGGCAGGTGCGTCGCGTTCGTCCCAGCTCTCTGCTCTGGTTTCTGATTTCAGTCGCCAGTCGCCATGGTCGATTTCAACAACCTTCTGAGCAGGTTCGTGCTTGCGGCTCCTCGAGCGCTCAACGATGAGGTCGCGCAAGGTCAGATGGTCGTGTGTACCCAGATGTCGATTGCTGGAAGCGCCGCTTCATTCACCGTCAAGATCATGAATGCTGGTACTGGCAGGGATCTGGCAGAGCAGCTGGCGCAGCCGCTGATCAAGGGGCTGCTCGGCCTGACCGCTTCGGCGGCCGAGCGGCCCCCCCCCACACCCGCATTGCGCCCACCGCCCGCCGCACAACACGCAACACACAACGCACAACACACACACACACACCGCACACCGCACACCACCACAACACACAACACACAACAAGTGCTAGTCTTAAAGAAAGAAAGAAAGAAAACACACAACCCAAGGGAGGGTTTCCTAGTCTTTTCTCCTTCACATGCGAGTATACTTTCTTTTTCTTCCAGTCGCCCTTGTCAAGCAGTGCATATACACACACATATATGCCGCCGCGCGTGCCCTTCATCCGCTTCCCAGGCCCACCGGCGGGCTCGTCGTGCGTGCCCGACAAGAGCCGAGTCGCCGAGCAGGACAAGCGCAGGTTCCAGGCGGCGCGCCGGGCGGCGCCTCGCTTGCCTCCGGCGCGACTGCCGCCCGCAAAGGCGATTGCAAAAACGCAGCTGCCTAGCCATCTCAGGCCGGGCAAGCGGCCCGCCGCCTCCGCTGCCATCGACGACAGCACCGTGCGTGATCCGGCGCCGCCCGAGGGCGAGCCCTCAAACGCAACGCCAGCGCGCGCGCCTGAATCGGCTGCGGTCTCGCTGGTCGCGTATGGCGAAAGCGACAGCGAGGAGGAGGCGGGCAGCGACCCAGCCAGCAGCAACCAAACGCAGCCTCAGAACTTGGCACCCGGCTGACCAAAATGACACCACGCGACCCCAGTTGTGGCCAAGGGCGTTTACTTTTGAGTGCATGAGATTTTGTATAGTGTGTCCTGCACGCCGGACAGGCCTGACTGGCCACGAAAACTGTAAACGCGCGCGCGGCATGCATGGGTGATCCGCACCGCGGGCCGAGGAGCACACACACACTCTCTCTCTCTGCCTCCGGCGCGGCGCGCCCATAGCCATACGCGCGCGCCCCGCCGGCCCGCGCCGCACCGCCCCCCCCCATCCCTGGTGTGGACGGTTTTTTTCGCGGTATCCGCGGCGGGATATGGCGGGATATGGCGGGATACCGGGAGATACCGTTAGATGCCGGGAGATACCGGGAGATACCGGGAGATACGAGATACGGGCGGATACGGGCAGAAACGGGCAGATACGGGGAGATACGGGGAGATGCTCGAGGGAGATGCGATGAGATGCAAGGAGATACGGGGAGATACGGTCAGATATTGCAGAGATACATCAAGATACCGCAAAAAAAACGTCCGCACTAGGGCTCCCCCCCCCCGCGGCCCTTGATCGGGAGAGAGTGCGTCGCGCAGTAAGGTGCACTGAACTACTCAGTATAAACTTGGTGTGGGCGCTACTAAACAGGAGGACGCCGCGGCTCGCTGAGACACGGCCACCTCAACCTCGGCCCCAGCTGATGACGACTGGTGCCAGACTTCGACGACATTCTCGGAAGGCTGCTCCCAGCGCGCGGCTTCGGAAGGTGAGATGCTGATACACACGCCGTGCGGGAAGTGGAACGCTTTGTGAGCAAAGATCACCGTCGGCGCTGCTGACGAGCCGCACACGTATCTCAGCGTAAAGGCAAGAGAGTCTGCGTCGTAGTGCCACGCGATGGGCTTGCCGGAGATGAGAGGGGCGTATGGGCGCGAGAGCTCAGCGAGCTTCTGGCGCTGCAGGGTCCCGTTCCTATAGTAGAGCCCCTCGCTGAGCGGGCTGGCATTCGTCGTGATGTCGTCATACGGCTTGAAGGACCAGTAGGTCCAACTCTGCATGTGAGCGTCCGCCAGGTCCAAGCTCTTGCGCAGAACACGGAGCGCGTGAGGTGAATCCGAAACGGCGCCAAACTCGGTGAGCATACGGCCACCGCCGAGGCGCGCATTGTTGGCGCGGAACGATCCCCACGCGGTGCGAAGTGCAACATTGCAGAGTGCCAGGCCCACCGCAGTAGATGTCCCGTTCTGGCAGTAGATGTGATAGGCAAACGCCTGCCGATCATTGTACAGCTCCCCGCCGGGCCCACCGTGCGGGAAGTCACTCGCCAGGCCAAACTGGCCGTTGAGCACATGCGGCTCGAAAAAGACAATCGCACGCTGGTCGTGCGCACGTATCGCCTCGTGCGCGGCCTGGTAGAGCGGGAGCAGCTTGCGACGATCAGATGCCCCGGGCGACCTGCTAAATGGCTCGTTGAAGAGCTCGTAGCCGAGCACCGACGTCTCGTCTCTCAGGGCGCTGGCTACGGCGGCCCAATGAGCAGCAAAGTCAGCGTGCATGTCTTTGAAGAATGCTTCGCGCGCTGCGCTTGCTTCGGTGGTCCCGTAGTAAAGTAAGAAATCGTGCGCGCTGCAGGCCTCACGAGACGGAAGTCCACTCGGGTCGACACGCATGTCCCAGTGAAACGGCTTTGGAAATCTGTTCGCTGCGCTTACGTTCATCCCGCTCAGCCTGAGCGCCTTTTGCACTGCCCACTCCGGGAAGCCCTCGCCGCAGTAACGCGCGCCCATTGAGTCCTGGTGCATGTCGACGAGGGTGTAAATCCCTCTGGCCGCGAGAGCTCGAACGAATGATCGCGCGGTGCGGAGGTAAGTCGCGTTGACCCAGCCTTCCTGTGGCATCACACCCGCCCAGAGCACACCAAGACGGACCGCGTTTAGCCCCCACGAGCTGAGGTTGAGGATGTCTGCTTCGGAGAGCGAGTTCCGAGCGTCGAACCCCGTTGAAACAGGGAGGAATGGGGGCAGCTTCTCGACGACGTTTACGCCGTGGAATACGCGGACGCGATCGCTGGTGTCGACGAAGAAGTGGGTGGCAGGGTCAACACGAACGCGAGGCAGGCCGGGCGCCTCCGCGAGGACGTATCTCTGCACCACCAGTCCGAGCCCCAGCAGCAGGAGGTGTATGCGTGCGGGCGCGGGAGTTAGTTGCATGATCGACAGCGGTCCGTCTGCGCACGAGATTAGTCCGCGCTAGAGAGCCCGCGCTCCAGCCGCAGCAGTAGCAGCACGCGCGCGAAGCAGCTGTCAACCACGCGGCGCGCAATGAATGAGCGCGGGCACACGATCCACGAAAGTCGGGGACGCGCGCAAAGCCTCCGTGCGAATGGGTTCCGGCAAGGGTGAGGAGGCATGCAGCCCGAGCGCGGCATTCTTCTTCCTGCTCGCGATGGTTGCAGGTGTCGGCATCCAAGTCACACAGAAAACTCTCTTCCAGCTCAAGGTTGAGGGGCGCACGGGCGAGATTGAGCCCTTTACGCCAAAGGCGCTGACTCTCCTCTTCATGTTCTGTTCGATGAGCCTTGCTCTGCCGATCCACGTGTTTGTCAACAAGGAGAGCACCGGATTAACACCGAAGCGGGTGCTCATGCTCGGCGTTCCAACCGTCTTTGACCTCATAACAACCGCCTTGGGAACGCTCACAGTCCAATTCCTCCCCCTGTCGACAAACTCGCTTCTGCGAGGCTCCGTCACAATCTTCGTCGCGATCCAGAAGCATTTTGTACTCAAGGATAGGCTTTCGAGCGCAAACTGGGTGGGGATCGGTCTCATCAGTTGCGCAGTCCTCATTGTCGGCGTGGTTGGGATCGTCACATCTGACAACACCAGTGCAGGTGGGACGCAGACAGCCCTACTGGGAGTGGTGCTCGCCTTTTTATCCACCTTTGTCGCCAGCTTTCAGTTTGTCGTCCAAGAGAAGCTGATGTCCGAGCTCGACACGCCGCCTCTGGTGCTGTGCGGCTGCATGGGGCTCGCAGGCGTCGTCCTGACGCTCTGTGTCGTGTACCCGGCGTACTACCATCTCCCTGGAGACGACCACGGCCGCTTCGAGGACTTTTACAATACGTGGCACAAGTTCTCCCGCTCCCCCTTCATCCAGCTTCTGCTGGGCATCTACAGGCGCCGGCCGCTCTCGAGTCTCGTTCACCCACTCGCCCCGCCACTTACCCCATCACTGACCCCCTTGGAGCTGTTCAACAGCGTGCTCGTCCTTACTTTGAACGCGAGCATGCTGATCGTCATGCAGGCGCGCAGAGAGGCCCAACCCCTGTCCGGCCCCGGCCGGCCCGCGCCTCACGAACTCTCGCGCGGTGGCGTCACAGAAGCTCTCGTCGGTTTGGGGGGCCATCCTGAGCAACGCGCGGCCAGCGCTAACCTGGGCGGTGCAGCTCTTCCTCTTTTATGAAGTGACGGCGGGCGCGTACGGCGAGGCGTGGAAGGGTGCCGCCAGCTTTGTGCAGCTCGGGGGCTTTGGGCTGCTACTGCTGGGCATGGCGGTCTACAACGGGACGATACAGCTGCCGGGCGGGCCACGAGCGACGGAGCACCCCATCCTGGACATGGAGGCCTCCGTCCGCCTGTCCCTGATGGGGCCGACGGCGTTCCGCACGTCACGCATGTCGGTCAAGAACCCGAGTCTGAAGCAAAACCTGGTGGAGCCGTGAGGGGGGTCGGCGAGTGAGCGAGAGGCCTTTGGGGAGGGAGCGTCGCGCGTAAAGAAGAAAGAAAGATGTCTCGATTCCAGGGCGGGGGAGAAAGGGACAAAGCCCCCCAGCATCGAACGGCTGCGCGTCTCTGTACGAGCTTAGCCTTTTTTTTTCACGGCGCCGCTCTGTGTCTCCACATCCATTGCCCGCGAACCATGTCCAGCTGCTCGCCCGTTGACGCCCCGCCCGAGGTCGCAGCGCCGTGCTTCGCGTCCCCGCTGGACTCGCCGCATGCGAACGACGCGTTCGCCGATGACCAAGGCCTCGTCGACGCAACTGACGCACCGATGCACAGCGAGGAGACGGCGCAGACGATGGGACAGTTCACCGAGTCGATGACCGCCGCCGTTCAGGCGGCAGACGAGGCCTGGGAAGCGCAGTACGCTCTGCTGCCGTGCCAGTCGCTCGTGCAACAGGCGTACATCGAATGGGCCCGCATCTTGGACGAGAAGGAGGGGCACCTCTTCGCGATTCGTGCCGAGAAACTCCGCATCGAGGACGAACTCGCCGAATACAAGAAGGAGGCCGCGGAGTTTCTCAAAGCCCTGTGCGAGTCGCCTGCGATCGCCTGAGCGATGCCGACACAGATCACGCCGGCCGGACCAGCGTCAGGGCGGAGAATGGGCGTCGCTCGGCGCGACTTTGGGAGTGTGTTGACGGTCTCGCGGGCGCCACGTCGGCTCGGAGGGCGCTGCCGCTGGCCGCGGTGACGAGGGGGCGTCAGTACCGTTGGTCGCGGCGACGAGGGGGTTCCATGCGCGCTCTGGGCCTTGATGCGGCCTTCCGTTGACGGCTCGCGCTGCGCCACGCGCGGCGACGATCTCACCTCTGCAGTCAATCTGGGGCGACCGACAGCGCAGGGTCGCCAGCCGCGGGCTGTTTTGGACAGGGCGATCGGGACTTGCGCAGCATGGTCCAGCGTTGATGCCCCGACAGTGGGTCAGACTCGAGCGGCTGGTCTCGTGGCTTCGCCGGAGCGAAGTGAAGAACGTTCCAAACAGTGGGAAATCTCTCCGTCTCCGGGCCGGGACCGGTCACACAGAGGCCTTAGCTTTGCCCCGGTGCTGCCCGGTGTGAGAGGCGGGGCACCGTTTTGTGAGTGTGCGCCCGCGCCTTGGGGCAGGCGTTGCTGCAAAAACCAAAATAGCCTGCCTGATCGATCCAGGCAGCTGCCTGCCAAAACGCAAGCTATCCCCTGGCCCTCCCTGTTCGATGAGCTCTGTCGATCCCTCTGCTAACCACGCCTCTGCTCTCTCGCGCGCGCCTCCACCTGCCGCGCGCTCGCCGCGACAGCCCCCGGGGGGTGGGGCAGCGACAGAGCCGTGAACAGTCCGTTGTGTAGCGGCCGGCCGGGGACCGATCTAGCTCACTGCTGCCTCTCCCGTAGCTGCCGTGGGCAGGTAGAGGCCCGATGTCCCGCGCGGGCTGGGAGGGCGTCGACGCGCTTTTGAGTTGGCTGGACGAGAACACTGCGCCGCCGCTGCAGCCACCGCCGCCGCTGCAGCCACCGCCGCAACCGCCGCGGCCACCGCCACCGCCGCCGCTTCCTCCTGCAGCGCCGCCGCTACCGCGATTCGGCGGCGGAGCTCCCGCCCAGCCGCCGCCTCAGCTCGCATCGCCACACACAGGTTCCGCGTCATCCTCGCGCGCCCCGCTCGCGCTGCGAATGCCTGTGTGCTCGCGCCACCCAAACTCCCAGGTCGTTGAGTTCCGGGTGCGCAAGCCCGGCCCCAACCAGGGCCGCTCGTTCTATCGCTGCAACGCCGGCGGCCGCGGCCCGGGGCAGTGCGAGCACCTCTTCGTGTGGGTCGACGAGTGGACGACCCAGCAGCCCTCGCCCGCCCAGCAGCCCTCGCCCGCCCAGCAGCAGCAGCACCAGCAGCAGCACCAGCACCAGCAGCACCAGCAGCGGGTGCAGGGCGAGGCGCAGGCAGGGCGGGCGGAGGAGGAGGACTTTGACGCTGCGTGCATTGCGGCAGTTGCACAGGCCGACGAAGAGATGCAGCGCCGCGCGGCTGCCACAGCGGCGTGCGACAGCGCGCCCCCTGTGCACGCCGCCTCCGCAGTCACACCGCTCGGCGCGCGCGTCGAGCAGCTGCAGCTCAAGGTGGAGTCGCTGCGGCGAGAGCTGAGCGAGCACCTCGACGGGCTGCAGCCAGACGACTTTGCGCAGACTCAGCGAGCGGCGCCGCCGCCACCGCTACAGCCGCCGCCCCTGCCGCCACCGCCTCTGCCGGCACCGCCAGCATCGCTAGCGCCACAGCCACAGCTGTTAGCGCCGCCCGCCGGCGCCACGACCAGCGCACAGCCAGTGGAGGCGGCGCGGAAACGGCGAAAGGTGCCGAGGCTTGGCTTTGGCCGAGGCGCGGTCGGCGGTGGCAGTGGCGGCGGCAGCAGCGGCGGCGGCGGCGGCGGCGGCGCGCTGACTCTCCTCCGTCTCCCGGTCGGCGTGACGTACACGCGGCACGCGGAGGAGGCGGACGCGATCGCTTCCGAGCTCCGCGGCGCTGGCGGGCTCCGCGCGGTCGGCTTGGACGTCGAGTGGAGAGTGGAGTACGTCCTCGGCGCTGCTCCCCGCCGCATCGCAACCCTCCAGCTGGCGACCGCGGTGCAGACTTACGTCTTCCACGTGAGCCACTTCCGCCCACCCGCCATCGCCGCCGCGTCTACCGCCGCCACCTCCTCCGCCGCCTGCTCTGCCTGCAGCGAGCCCGCCGCCAAGGCCCTGCTGCCACCGCAGTCCAGCAGGCTGCCGCCTGCCCTCGTCGCCCTCCTCGAGGACGGAGACGTCCTCAAGGTTGGCGTCGGCGTGCGCAACGACGCGCTCAAGCTGCAAAAGGACTACGGCGTGCGGTGTGCCGCTCTCCTCGACCTCGCGGCGCTGGCTGCTAAAGCGCTGCCCAACGAGGAGCGGGGCTGGAGCCTCGCCGAGCTGACCTCTCGGCTGCTGAGCAGGCAGCTCGACAAGCGCGACACGCTGCGCTGCTCCGACTGGGAGGCGGCGGTCCTCTCGCCGGAGCAGGTGGAGTACGCGGCTCTGGACGCGTGGGCGAGCTTCGCCGTGTATCAGAAGCTCTCCGCCACGCCCGCCGCCGCTGCGCTCCTCGCCCAGGGAGGGAGCGTGGGCGGGTGCCTCTCCAGCGTCCCGCGTCCACTGCCAGAGACGGTCGCGCAGGCCGGGCAGAGCGGGCGAGGTGGCGGCGGCCGCGGCCGCGGCCGCGGGCGAGCTTCGCAGGAGGTGGCTCAAGAGGCTCCGGGGCCGGGAGGGCGGGGGCGCGGGCGGGGACGGGGTGCAGCCGTCCCGCCCGACGCTCGGCTCGGTACGTTCTCTGAGCTTGCGCGCATTATGAAGTGAGTACGGCATCATATGTCGTTACATTCTGCATAATCATCAATAAACACTTCGAAATACACTTCCATCTCTAGGGGGTACGTACATGGGTACGTTCTACGTGTACACTCGTCCCCCGCGCCCCGCCTTGCGCCTAAAAAGCTGTACGCTCGTCATGCAGGAGTACGCACGCGCGCGCGACGAGGCGTACCCCGGCCGCGCCGCGCTGTCGAGCCGCGCTGCGCGCTAGAGCCGTAGCGCGGCGCCCCCTGGCCCTGCGCCCCGGCCCCCCTCGCTGACACTACCAGCGGCCTCTCCCGAGGCAACCCGCCCGGCGCCTGCCCTCGCTCAAAGCTTGCGCAGCTCCGCCAGGGCGACGAAGAGGTGGTGCTTGCGCGCGACCAGCTCAGTGCGCTTGGCGGCGCAGGACTCGATCAGCAGGTGGGAGACGTCGGCCGGTCCGTCGGCGTCCGTCGCGGCAGAGGCGGACGCCTCGCCCCCGGCGGCGGCCTTGCGCTTGCGGCTTGGGCGCGGCGGTGCCACCGAATGGACGCTGGCAAGCAGCGTCTTGCGCAGCTCGTCCGGCTGCATGACGACCGGGACGATGAGCTCGCGCAGCGCCACCTCCGCGATGATGCGCGGCACCTTGCCACTGACGTAGTCGCCACCCGACCAGACGGGGTCGCCAACCTGCCCCATGAGGTGGAGGGTCATCGTTTGCGCCGCGCTCTCGACAAAGCCGTCGAGGCAACCCTCGAGTAGCATGCCGCTCGCCTCGCACAGCGCGTCGCGCAGGACCTCAAAGCGCTCGAGGCGGAGGGGCGGCTTGATGTCGGAAGAGAAGGCGGCCTTGACCGCCTTGACAACGAACTCGGTGAAGAGCGGGAGCAGCCCGGGCAGGCCGTCGACCAGCTTCTGCTTGAGCATCTTCCTGAAGATGGCCGTCCGGATCGTCGGGTGGGAGGAGGATCCGCTCTGCATCGCGGCCTGGAGAGCCGATGAGATCTCCTTCTGCGCCACGATGCTCGAGACGTAGTCCTTTGCGACCTCGTGATGAACCCGCGCACCTCGGTGAAGGCATCGGTAAAGGCGGCGAGCAGCTCGTCCAGCATGAAGGACGAGGGCGGGCGGCCGAGCTCGTCGATCTGCGCGGCGATGCCCGCAGACTCCTGCTCGAGCTGGCTGACCGCCGCCGGCACCCACGTCTGCGTGATGTAGAGGGTGAAGAGGGCGTCAAGGTGGGACAGCAGGGCGGCGATCCCGCACTGCTCGCCGCCGAGCTTGGCCTCGTCGACGAACCACTTGCGCTCCGTCTCGCACGACTCCTGCAGGCTGCTCGCCTCCTCCTCCTCGACGAGCGTGTCGCGGTTCTTGACTGCAACCCAGCTCAGCAGCTTGACCATGTCGTCCGCCTTGCCCGCGAGGCGGTCCTTGAGCTGCCAGTAGGGCGTGGTTTGCTTGCGCTGCTTGTAGCGCGGGTCGTGCGCGAGGTCCGCCTTGGCGAGCACGCCGAGCGTGACCTCCTCCTTCTTGGCCGCCTGCACGAGCTGGATGGCCTGGCTGTCGCGCACGCGGGTGATGTTGGCAGGCACGACGGCGACGACGATGGTCGAGTGGTCGCGAAGGTAGCGCTCGCTCAGCGCGCGCGTGCGAGACATCATGTCGGCAGGCTCGCCCTCAATCGACGCGGCGACGATGCCCGGGAGGTCGACCAGGTCGAGCGTCGGCACCGACGGCTTGCGCACCTCGATGGTGAGCTGCTCGTCGATGACGCCGTGCCCGGGCGGCACCACCTCGGACATGAGCTTCCCGACGGCAGAGGCAGCGTCCGCTTCGGTGACGACGAGGTCGACCCGGCCTGGAAATTTCAAGGTCACCCGCGACTCGGAGTCGCCCGAGTTGATCAGGCTCAGCTTGATCGGCATCCGAGTGCAGATCTTGTTGTTCCCCCTCAAGCCCGGCGCGATGCAGCAGCTGATCAAGGACGAGTTTGAAGACATGTCGGCGAGCACGTTCAAGTTCCGCCCGCTGAAGCATTACTTCGAGCCGCGCGGTGGCCAAGACGATCGCGGCTACGTCCCCAAGACGATCGCGACGAGCACGGGCGGCAGGGAGACGATGTTTGACGTTGACCTCGTCGTACCGTCCCGCTGGGGCGGCATCGACCACCCGCGCAACTACGTCGTGATGCACCGCACGATGAACCGGAGCTTCCAGGAGTCGCTGCACGAGACCAAGTGGTATTACATCGAGCAACACAACCACGGCGTCCTGCGTAAGGTGGCCAACTTTGTCCGACGATACGGAGTGACATCGCCGCGGGTGCACTATTCATCCCTCTTCCCTACATCGCGGACTACATCAAGAACGAGACATGAAAGCTCTTTGATTCATTCTGGCTGGTGACGACGGCCGTGGAATGTGCAGGGGTCTCCCATGCCGCTTGTGAGCGCGCCGATTCTTCTCGTTTTGCATATATCGCATGTGTGCCGCCACATTTCTCACAAAATGTGTACGGGGTATGAAGTGTACATTATGCGAGTTGTAGAGTCCACCAGCACTCTGTACGCGACGCTCCCCCACTCCAACCACCCGGATGCTGCGCGCTGGGCTAGCCGCACATTGCACAACTTATCACCCCACAGCAGGACCAGTTCCAGTCGATCGCAGCATCAGCTGCACCGCGCGCGGCATGCTGCTGTACGGGTCGGCCGCCGCCTCGCCCTCTCCCGCCCCGGCCTCGCCGCCCGGAGGCGGCGGCGGCGGCGCCGCCTTCGCAAACGAGTCTAGCAGCGGCGCCTCGGCGCGCGCAAGCTCCGCCGCCTCCGCCTCCTCTGCTGCGCGCGCCTTGTGCTCCTGCTCCGCGCGCGCTCTCGCCCTCGCCTCGGCCTCGACATTGCGGCGGCGGCCGCTCGCATACTCGGCGGCGAAGCGCTTCCACGTCGCGTGCGGGATGCCGTGAACGACGGCGGGCGCGCGCATTGCCGGGCGCGCGCCTCCCGGCAAGTTCTGCGCGAAGAAGCAGCTCGCGGAGTTGAAGGAGCGCTGCAGCAGCCCCGAGGCGCCGAGGTACGCGGCGTGCCTCTTGTCGCAGGTGGAGCAGCCGAGCTGCCTCACAAAGGAGACGTTGTGCGCCGCGGCGCAGCCGCCAATCATCCAGTCCGACTACGAAGCACGGCGTTAGGCTTGTCACGGACGTGCCTTGGGCAGATGCACAGGTGCTGGGCGAAGGGTTCGGCCTGCATGCAGCGCGAGTGGTATCGCTCGATGCATGCGGCGACGTCCATGCGGCGGAGAGCGGCGGCGGAGAGGACGGTACCGCCTCCGCCGCAGGCAAAGTCCTGCACACCGGAGCGGCGGAAGGCCTGCGGCGACGAGACAAAGTCGCCCGTGTAGAGGGGCGCCTCCTCGTCGAGGAGCGCGAGGAGGGCGCGCCTGCAGGCGGCGGGGAGCAGGCGGGATAGGGCGGTGAGGACAGATGGCCAGAGCGGTGAAGACGCGAACCACGCGGCCCTCTGTGGCATCGGCCGTCTTTGTGAATGCCGCGTCTGAGGCGGCAGGCGCGTGATGGTGGCCCTCCGCCGGAGCGAGTGCCTCCTTCTTGCAGGTGTCTCTGCTCTTGCAGCATCTGCTGGCGCGCGCAGCCGCTCCGCAAAGACAAACGAGTCGTCGTCGACGAGGACGACCCAGCGCAGGTCGCCCCGCTCGAAGCGGGGCGAGGAGCGCACGTGCTGCAGCGCGGGGAGGAAGCGGTACTGCGCCTCGAGCGTCGCGGCGCGGTGCTGCCGACAGAAGAAGCTCTCGCCTCTGTCGCCGGCCGTCACGTCGCTCTCGTTGCACACGCAGCGGCGAGGAGGCGCGGCGCCGCGGATGCGCACGACGGGCATCTCGCCCGAGGTGGGTGAGCCAGGTTGCGCGTATCGGTCGCCCCAGTCGCGCGCCGCATCAAACGTCACCGCTCGCAGCCTCCTGCCAGCCTCAGTGCCGCCATCGGTGGCAGAGTCGCCCGGCTGGCCATCCTTCGCTGCTCCGCCTGCTTCGGCCTCGGTGGCCTCGTCGTGCTCGCCTTGTCGCCGCCGTCCCGGCTCGTCGAGGACGAAGAGGCACTGCGCGCGCTGCTGTGTGCACCAGGAGGCCTGCGCAAGCGCCGAGCGCGCCCGCAGCCGGTGCGAGCCCATCACGACAAAGAGGAGCTGCGAGAGCAGCAGTGGCGTGCGCGTGCCTCGCCGGAGGGCGTCGATGGGCAGCTCCATCCCAGTGCCGGCGGGCGTGCACAGTGCGCGCTTGCCGCAGTCAGCACAGTCCTCGCCGTAAGCGCACTGAGGCCGGTTGCCCGAGTGCGCACCGTGGCCGCCGTCGCGACAGACGCCGTCGCTCGCGCACGTCTGCCGGCACACGCGACGGCAGTACGAGCCTCGCTTTGGGCGGGTGCGTTGCTGGCGCCAGGGCATGCGCGCGGTTGGCGGCCGGCGGCCGGCGCGCGAAAAGTGGCGCGACGGGCGGCGACGGGCGCTTCGAAGTTCCTAGTTCGATCTTCGTCGGGGCGAAAGATAATTCTCATTTCCTGGATGTGAGGTTAATGACTGCACTCCAAGTGCTCCAAGTGCTCCAAGTGCATTTCGCTCCCGCACGTGGCTCCTCCGATGGGCGGTATCCGTTTTATTTTGTCTTTCTCTACGCGGCTTTATCTCTTTTGTAGCTGCTAGCTCTTTCTCTACGGAGCTTTAACCGACATGCAGACATAGACATGGTACACCGCGGGCCCCACACTGCCACAGCCCTTGTACGAGTCACTAGACAACACGGCTCCCCCTCCCCCGACAGCGTGTGCTTGTGCAGAGATAGCACCACATGCGCGTGCTGCGCGTGCTCCCCCGCCTTCGTGCGCCCCTAGTCAAGGGCCTCGGCTCGTCATCCGATCGCACTCAAAGGACGAATTGAGCGAGGCCCAAACTATAATGAACCGTCAGCCGCCCTCACTGGCTGGCAGCCGAGCCGTACCACTCGTGCAGGCTGCGAGGGTCGAGGCCGACCCCGTTTGGCTTGGCGATGTCTGTGCTGGTCGCCTCGAGCGAGTCGGCGAGCAGCTGCGCCACCTGCACGTTGGTGATGAGCGGCACGCCAAAGTCGACGGCGAGCCTGGTCACCACGCGGAGGCGGTGGTGGCGGGCGGCGGGCGGGTGGGTGGGCGGGCGGGCGGGTGGGTGGGTGGGCGGGCGGGGGGCGGCGTGCGAGGGGCGGACGCGCGAGTGGACACGGCAGGGTGGGGAGGGGCGAGCGCGCACCGGCGGATGGCGTAGTTGGTCAGGATGTTTTGCGAGAACTGGTTGGAGAACATGAGCACCAGCTCGATGTCGCCGCGCTGGATGTAGTCGTCGATGCAGGGCTCGACGCCGTCCTCCGCGTAGTTGAGCATCGTCACCGGCACGCCCTGCTCCTCGAGGTAGGCGGACGTCTTCTTGGTCGCGAAGAGCGTGTAGCCGAGCTCCTGCAGCTTGCGCACCGCCGGCACCGCCTCGGCGAAGAGCCGCTCCTGCATCGAGACGAGGATGTTCTTCTTGGGCAGCTTCATGCCCGTCGAGAGCATCGCCTTGAGGAAGGCGTCGTGCCGGTCCGGCCCGAAGCAGGCGACCTCGCCCGTCGAGGCCATCTCGACGCCGAGCGACGGGTCGGCGCCCTTGAGACGCTGGAAGGAGAACATCGGCACCTTGACGCCGACATAGTCGTCGGGCGGCTCGGGCGCGCGCTCGTCGATCGGCGCGCCAACCATCGCCTTGGTGGCGGTCTCGATGAAGTTGACGCCCATCACCTTGGACGAGAAGGGGCACGAGCGCGAGGCGCGCAGGTTGCACTCGATCACCTTGACCTCGCCGTCCTTTGCGATGAGCTGCATGTTGAAGGGGCCGGTGATCTCGAGCGCCGCGGCGAGCTTGTGCGTGATCTCCTCAACCTTGGCCACGTCGGCAGAGTCGAGGGTCTGCGGCGGCAGCATCAGCGACGCGTCGCCCGAGTGCACGCCCGCGTTCTCGACGTGCTCCGACACGGCGTGCAGCAGCACCTTGCCGTCGCGCGCCACCGCGTCCACGTCGATCTCGCGCCCGTTCTCGATGAACTTGGAGACGACGACGGGGTGCTCCTTGGAGACCTGCGTCGCCTCCGTCAAGAAGCCGGTGAGCTCGCCCTCCGAGTAGGCGACGTTCATCGCCGCGCCCGAGAGGACGTACGACGGCCGGACGAGGCACGGGTAGCCGACGCGCGAGCAAAACGCGAGCGCGTCCTCCTGCGAGGTGAGCAGCTGCCACTCTGGCTGGTCGATGCCGACGCGGTCGCAGAGCGCGGAGAACTTGTTCCGGTCCTCGGCCGTGTCGATCATCGTCGGCGACGTGCCGGCGACGTTGACGCCGGTCGAGCCCATCTTGAGCGCGAGCCTGCGGGCGGCCGCGGGGGGTCGGGGTGGGTTTGGCGGGGGGTCGGGGCGCCCGGTCCGCGAGGGAGGGGGCGGCGCACGTGTTTGGGATCTGGCCGCCGACCGAGACGATGGCGGCCTCGCAGCCCTCCTGCTCGTACACGTCGAGCACGCGCTCGAGCGAGAGCTCCTCGAAGTAGAGGCGGTCGCACTCGTCGAAGTCGGTCGAGACCGTCTCGGGGTTGTAGTTGACCATCACGGACTTCTTGCCGAGCTGGCGCAGCGCGCGGATGGCCGAGACGGAGCACCAGTCGAACTCGACCGACGAGCCGATCCGGTACACGCCCGAGCCGATCACCATCGTCCCCTTGTCCTCGAAGTCGAGGTCGTGCTCGTCGCCGTTGTACGTCATGTACAGGTAGTTTGTGGCGGCCGGGAACTCGGCGGCCATGGTGTCGATCTGCTTGACGAAGGGGGTCACGCCCATCGCCTTGCGCAGCGCGCGGATCTCGAGCTCGGTCGAGCCGGTGAGCTTCGCCACCTGCGCGTCCGAGAAGCCCGACTTTTTGGCCTGCAGCACCGTGCCGGCGGGCAGCGTCTTTGGCGTGTACTCGGAGAGGATCTGGCCCATGTCGTTGATCCGCTTGAGCTTCCACAGGAACCAGGGGTCGATGGCGGTGAGCGACTGGATCCGGTCCACCGAGTAGCCGCGCTTCATCGCCTCGGCGATCGCGTAGATGCGCGTGTCGGTCGGCACCTGCAGCGAGCGGTTGAGCTCCTCCTCGCTCTCGGCCACAAACTCGTCGTGCGGCTGGTAGCCGGCGATGGCGGGGTCCGTCATGCGCAGCGCCTTTTGGAGCGACTCCTCCCACGTGCGGCCGATGGCCATCACCTCGCCGACCGACTTCATCGCCGAGCCGATCTCGCGCGAGACGCGGTCGAACTTGGAGAGGTCCCAGCGCGGCACCTTGGTGACGACGTAGTCGAGGGAGGGCTCGAAGCAGGCGGTGGTCGAGAGCGTGACCGAGTTGGTCAGGTCGGGGAGGAGGTTGCCGAGCGCCAGCTTGGCCGCCACCGAGGCGAGCGGGTAGCCCGTCGCCTTGGAGGCGAGCGCGGACGAGCGCGACAGGCGCGGGTTCACCTCGATGATGCAGTAGTCGTTCGAGTGCGGGTCGAGCGCGTACTGGATGTTGCACTCGCCGACGATGCCGAGGTGGCGCACGACCTTGATCGCCGTCGTGCGGAGCATGTGGTACTCGTCGTCGGTGAGCGTCTGCGAGGGCGCTATCACGATCGACTCGCCCGTGTGCACGCCGAGCGGGTCGAAGTTCTCCATGTTGCAGACGGTGATGCAGTTGTCCGCCACGTCGCGCACCACCTCGTACTCGACCTCCTTCCACCCCTTGAGCGACTTCTCGACGAGGACCTGTCCACACAGACCTCCCGCGTGAAGGGTCGCGGGCCCCGAGCCACAGCCCATCCTCCCCCCCGACCGCAGCCAGCGGCGAGCGCCTGCGGCGTCGACGCGAACGCCTCGCGGCAGTGCGCCTCGAACTTCTCCTCGGTGTCGATGAGCGCAGAGCCGAGCCCGCCGAGCGCAAACGCGCAGCGCACCATGCAGGGGAAGCCGATGTTCTTTGACGCCTCCAGCGCCTCGTCGAGCGTGTCGCACGCGAAGGAGGGGGCGATCCGCTCGCCAATCTCGTTGAGCTTGTCCGAAAAGATGCCGCGGTCCTCGGTCGCCTCGATGGCGGCGACGGACGTGCCGAGCACGCGCACGCCGTACTTTTCGAGCACGCCGCTCTTCTCGAGCGCGACGCCGCAGTTGAGGCCCGTCTGGCCGCCCATCGAGAGGATGATCCCCTCGGGCCGCTCGCGCTCGATGATCGTCTCGACCGTGTCGGGCGTCACCGGCATCAGGTAGACTTGGTCCGCCTGCGGGAGAGGGCGGCGAGGGAGGGGGGGTGGGGGAGGGGTGAGGGGGGGAGAAAGCGCCGCTGGCGTCCGGCGAGGGCGGCGGCGCTCACCGCGAGCTGCCCCTGCCCCTCGGTGTTTGTCTGCACCGACGCGATGTTCGGGTTGATGAGCACCACCTGCAGCCCCGCCTCCTTGAGCGCCTTGATCGCCTGGCCGCCAGAGTAGTCGAACTCGCCCGCCTGGCCGATCGAGAGGCCGCCCGAGCCGAGCAGCAGGACCTTGCTCAGCGGCTTGGGCTCAGGCGCGGCGTACTTGCCCCGCTCGAGCGCCGGCGTGAGCGGGAGGGCCGGGTTGCCCATCGCCTCAAGGAAGAGGTCGAAGAGGAAGGCGGTGTCCGACGGGCCCGACTTTGCCTCGGGGTGGAACTGGGCGGTGATCCACGGCCGCTCCTTGTGCATGATGCCTGCGCGGCCGCACGCGGGCGCGTCTTGAGCGGCGCGAGGGGCGGGAGGGCGGCGGGAGGCGGCAGGGGGGCGGGGCGGGGCGGCGGGGAGGGGCGATGGAGAGGTGTGGGGCGCAGGAAGCGGGGGAGGGGTGAGCAGCCGCCTTCGTTGGAGCCGTCGTTGCGGTTCTCAAAGATCGGCATCCAGCCCTCGGGTAGCTTGTCGGCGTCGAGCGCGTACCTAGGGGGGGAGCGTCGCGGACCGTGTCGTGGACGCGACGCCCCTCGCGCGGCGGGCACGCTTCGAGGCGCGCGCCCGTGGTTTTGCGGCGTGATGAAGCAGCGCTTGGAGAGCAGGTTGACGACGGGCTGGTTCTGGCCGCGGTTGCCAAAGGGGAGCTTGTACGTGGTCGCGCCTGCAGGCAGGAGAGAGGTAGCACCTCACCCGCCGTCGCCACCGCGCGGGGGTGCGAGGTGCGGGCCGGGCGGGCGCGCGCGCCGGCGGCACGCCCGAGCAGCTGGTTGCCGAGGCAGATTCCGAAGAGCGGCTTGACGGGCAGCTCGCCCGACTCCATCGCGGCGATGGCGTCGCGGATGTGGCCGACCGTCTTGTCCGCCATCGCGGGGTTGCCCGGCCCGTTGGACAGAAAGAGGCTGCGGCGTGGGGGGGGGAGGGCGGGGCGGGGTCAGGCGGGGGGGGGGGGGGGGGGGTTCAGGCGGGACGGCTTTTTGGGAACAAAATGGAAAGCGCGGGGCATGGGCCAAGGACGGGGAGGGGCCAAACAAGGGGGAAAAGAAAAGGGGGGGGGTTTTTCATGGGGGAAGAACGGCAAACGGGTGGGAAAAAATGCCAAGTGTGGGCCGTGCGCTGTCTTGCGCGCGAGGCCACGGCGGCAGGAGGCAGGGCGGGTGGCGGCGAGGCGTGGCTGGTGGCGACAGGAGGCGGGGCGGGTGGCGGCGAGGCGCGCTCTCACCCGTCGTGGTCCTCTAGCAGCGGCAGCAGCGGCGTGTCCCACGGCACGAGGGTCACCTCGCAGCCGCGCTGGAGGAGGGAGCGGATGATGTTGTACTTGATCCCGCAGTCCGTCGCCAGCACCTTGAACTTGCCCCCCTTGTTGAACACGCGCGGCTCCTTGAGCGACACCTCGGCGACCAGGTTGCGCTCATTCGGGTCCTCAAACGCGGGCAGTACGGGCTCGCCGCCGCGGGCGACGGCGGGGTCGAACTCGATGGTGGCGCGGAGGGCGCCCTTTTCGCGGATCTTCTTGGTCAGCAGCCGCGTGTCGATGCCGTACAGCGCAGGCACGCCCTGCTCGTTGAGCCACTGCGAGAGCGAGCGGCGCGACGACCAGTGCGAGTGGTGGTGCGAGTAGTCGGCGACGATGAGCGCGGTGACCTGGATCGAGTCGGACTCAAAGTGTTTCGGCAGGCCCCACTCGTCAACCTCGTCGTCCGGCACGCCGTAGTTGCCCACGATCGGGTAGGTCATCACCAGCATCTGCCCGCGGTACGATGGGTCGGTCAGCGACTCGGGGTAGCCAACCATGCCGGTCGTGAAGACGACCTCGCCCGAGACGGGCTTCTCGCAACCAAAGGAGACGCCGCGCAGCCGCGTCCCGTCCTCCAGCACAAGCATCCCCTGCCGGTAAAACATGGCCGAATTCGACCCGAAGGTAGAACCGACAAAGGCCTCGGGCCTCGCCTGCTCCGCCACCATGAGCGGAGCCGCGGTCGCGGGCGACACGCGGGCGGCGCGCACGGCCGGCCTCGTCGCCGGACCGAGGCTGGGCGCCCAGCTCGCAGCGCCGGAGAGTAGCAGCGAGGAGAGCATGGCGTCGGTCGGCAACAGCAAAGCCCTCTCCGAGTCTACCCGTGGCTCATCTCCTGCGACGGATTTCTTTTTGACGTTATTTTCGACGAGCCGGACAGCCTCGAGGTGCAAGTGGCCCAGGCTTCGCCGAGGGTGTGTATAGCCGCGAATCCAGGCTCAGTGTGGTACAGCTCACACCCCACTACCCCCCCCCCCCGGGACCCCCCCCCCCCGGACAAAGTGGCTCGGCGCCTTCCGAAGGTATACCGGTACCTAGAGGTAGCCGCGAATCCAGCTCCAGGCGGCCCCCGGCGACAGCGCGTGTTGCCCAGCAGCGGTCCTGTCGCTGTGCTGCACACACATATGCTCGCGGTGCTTCAGCTGTTCGCCACGTACGCGCCTCGCTGCGGCCCTCGGCCGGCACTCCGTCCTCGCTCCTGCGCGTCGCTCGCAGCGGAGGCCGGCGCGCTCGACGCAGAGCTGCTCGCGTACTGGTCGGCACACGGCGCTGCTTGGCAGGCGCCGCTGCGGAAGCTGGACGTGCGCGCCGCGTGGAACTGCGGCGAGCTCGACGGCGTGCTCCCATCGGGAAGGGCCTCGCGCGTCGCCGGCGGCGAGCGCCTGCTCACCCTCGCTCGCGCGCTGGAGCTCTTTGAGAGCGACGAGCTGCAGGTGCGCCGTCGCTTTCGGAGCATGACGGCCGAGGACATGGCGCCGCGATGGTCGCGAGTCGTGGACGACCGCGCGGCGCTGCAGGCGAGCGGCCGCTGGGAGGAGGTGGTCGTCGAGTCGGACGCCGCCCGCCGGTTCGCAAGGGCGAGGCTGGAGGGGTCGGTGGAGGAGGCGGACGCGTCGCCCGCGCTGTCGCGTGCGGTGGTGACGGTGCTCTCGCCCGCCCTCAAGGCTGCCGCCAGACAGCGCGACAAGGCGGACGGCGGGCTCGAGCTCAGCTTAGCGAGGTTGATGAGCGATGCTGGTGTGGACCCAGCCGAGAGGTGGCTGACGGCCAAGCTGCTGGCAGAGATCGACGCAGAGATCGATTCGTTGCCGGCGGCGAGGCCGGCCCCGCCGAGCTCGACCTTCGCGGCGGGAGAGGCGGAGCGCGATGTGGGGCAGGCGGCGAGTATGGGCGCGTTCGGCGTCGCCGCCGCGCTGGCGGTGCTGCTGCTGCAGATGCTGGCCCGGAGCGGCGGCGGCGGCGGCGGGGCGCAGTCTGGACTAGAGGCCACACTCGACCTGATGAGGTAGGAATTTGTGGACACAGATGCTCGCTAAATGCTAAATCAGATCACACTTCAGAGTTTGTCGGTTTGACTGTCACTGTCTCTCTACTCTCACATACGCATACACATTCGTGATATCGTTTGCACGCGCAGCTGCTAGGTGACCTACCGTAGGTGCTGTAGTGGCGACTAGTAGTGCTAACGATAGGCGAACTCTGAGGCGTGACCGTGAGGGGGAAAAAGAGACAACAGTTAACGATGAAAACGCGCACCGAGCAGAGTGGAGGGAAATTCTCGCGGGAGCGCGCCGTCCTGCGCTCCCATGCAAAGTACGCATACGCTATATGCGGGTGGCGTGTGGCCCCGCCGCCCCATTCGACAGACACAGCAGCGATCCTCCGCGACAACATCACCGCAGCAAAAGGCGCAGCGGCGTGTTGCGGCGACGTGTAGCCTGAGTGGAGCGCGAATGGGGGGTTAGGGCTCGGGGGGGGGGGGGGGGGGGGGGGGCCAAAAACCCGGAAAAATCCCCCCTTCTGTCCCCCCCCCCTTTAAAACCCCCCCCAAAGAAAAGGAAAATTCGCGAAAGGAAGGGGGGCCTTTTTCTCAAAATTTCTTCGGGCGGGCTCCCTTCCCCCCCCAAACACCCACTTGTGGGGTTAAAAATTGCCCCCCCCC